CATTTACCGTATTTTTTTCGCTCTATAGGACGCACTTTTTCCCTTCAAAAATGAAGGAAAATGTGTGTGCGTCCTATGGAGCGAAGACGCTATAGCCCGCGACCCTCTCCCGGCTGGAGAGGTGACGCGCGGCTATTGAGGCTCTTGCCATAGCCGCCCGTCACCTCTCCAGCCGGGAGAGCGTGCGCGGGGCTAAAGCAAGAGCCTCAATAGCCGCCCCTCACCTCTCCAGCTGGGAGAGCGCGCGCGGGGCTAAAGCAAGAGCCTCAATAGCCGCCCGTCACCTCTCCAGCCGGGAGAAGGTCGCGGGGGGCTGCTTAGCCCACGTGCGCGCTCTCCCGGCTGGAGAGGTGACGCACGGCTATGGCAGGAGCCTCAATAGCCGCCCGTCACCTCTCCAGCCGGGAGAGCGCGCGCGGGCTAGAGCAGCCCTCGCGACCCTCCCGGCTGGAGAGGTGACGGGCGGCTGGTGAGGCTCTTGCTAGCTCGCGGCTGCTCTCGGCTGGAGAGGTGACGCGCGGCTGTTGAGGCTCTTGCCATAGCCGCCCGTCACCTCTCCAGCCGGGAGAGCGCGCGCGGGGCTGCTGGAGAGGTGACGGGCGGCTATAGAAGCTCCTGCCATAGCCGCCCGTCACCTCTCCAGCCGGGAGAGGGTCGCGGGGGGCTGCTTTAGCCCCGGGCGCGCTCTCCCGGTTGGAGAGGTGACGGGCGGCTATGGCAAGAGCCTCAATAGCCGCCCGTCACCTCTCCAGCCGGGAGAGGGTCGCGCGCGGGCCAGCTTCAGAGCCGCGCGCTCTCCCGGCTGGAGAGGTGACGGGCGGCTATGGCAAGAGCCTCAATAGCCGCCCGTCACCTCTCCAGCCGGGAGAGGGCTGCGCGGGGCTGCTCAGGCAGCGCGCTCTCCCGGCTGGAGAGGTGACGGGCGGCTATGGCAAGAGCCTCAATAGCCGCGCGTCACCTCTCCAGCCGGGAGAGCGCGCGGGGCTGCTGGAGAGGTGACGGGCGGCTATGAAGCTCCTGCCATAGCCGCCCGTCACCCTCCAGCCGGGAGAGGGTCGCGGGGGCTGCTTTAGCTCCGCGCGCTCTCCGGCTGGAGAGGTGACGGGCGGCTATGGCAAGAGCCTCAACAGCCGCCCGTCACCCTCCAGCCGGGAGAGGGCTGCGCGCGGGGCTGCAGCCAGGCCGCGCGCTCCCGGCTGGAGAGGTGACGGGCGGCTATGGCAAGAGCCTCAATAGCCGTGCGTCACCTCTCCAGCCGGGAGAGCGCGCGCGAGGCTGCTGGAGAGGTGACGGGCGGCTATAGAAGCTCCTGCCATAGCCGCCCGTCACCTCTCCAGCCGGGAGCGCGCGCGGGGCTAGAAGCCATAGCCCAGCGACCCTCTCCCGGCTGGAGAGGTGACGCACGGCTATGGCAGGAGCCTCTCCGCTGCGCCTTTCCGCTGCTCCCTGAACTGCTCTTTGGGGCTGGCGGTGGGCTTCCCCCCGCCAGCCCCAAAGAGCAGGTCGAAAGGAACCTGAAGCCTGGAGAGCGAGGGGTCTCGCTCTCCAGGCTTCCAAGGTTGCCGCCTGGACGCACCTTAAACGGCACCTTGTTTTAGAGCGGGAAAACAAGAGGGTGAAAGTTCTCCCCCTCTCTGCGCAGCGCCTCCTGCCACTTCGCTGAAGGGGCGCTGGGCAGAGAGGGGGAGATTTTTTTTTTCTTGTTCTCCCCCCTCTAAAACAAAGTGCGTCCTATGGTCCGGTGCGTCCTATGGTGCGAAAAATACGGTACTTTTGAAAACATCTAAAACAGCAAATGCAACAGTAGCTATTTTAAAAGGTAGGTTTCTCCATTTACTTTGGTGGAACAGAATAAATTCTTTGACAGAACTGTGCTTCGTTTTCCTATATTTTATTTATTATTTATTCAATGCAACCCCTCATCTGAAAATATCAGGGCAGTTCAGAGCATAAAAATGTAAGATAAAAACACACAATATATAATAAAAACATGACCAAAGACAAAACAAAACAATAACCCCCTCGAAAACATTTAAAAGGACATTGGAGTTAATTAGCCAAAGACTTGCTTGAAGAGGAACGTTTTCACCTGGTGTCTAAAGGTGTATAATGAAGGTGCCAGGCAAGCCTCCCTGGGGAGAACATTCCACAAAAGGGGAGCCACTGCAGAAAAGGCCCGTTCTCGTGTTGCCAACCTCTTAACCTCTCTTGGAGGGGGCATAGAAAGGGGCCTCAGAGGACAATGCAGACCCAGGTTGATTCGTATGGGGAGAGGTGATACCAAACATACTGAGATCCTGAGCTGTGTAAGTCAACACCAGCACTTTTGAATTGGGCCCAGAAACTAATGAGAACCAGTGTGGTGTAGTGGTTAAGAGCGGTAGTCTCGTAATCTGGGGAACCGGGTTCACGTCTCCGCTCCTCCACATGCAGCTGCTGGGTGACCTTGGGCCAGTCACACTTCTTTGAAGTCTCTCAGCCCCACTCACCTCACAGAGTGTTTGTTGTGGGGGAGGAAGGGAAAGGAGACTGTTAGCCGCTTTGAGACTCCTTAAAGGGAGTGAAAGGTGGGATATCAAATCCAAATTCTTCTTCTTCTTCTTCTTCTTCTTCTTCTTCTTCTTCTTCTTCTTCTTCTTCTAATCAGCAGCCGGTACAGTTGTGCCAGAATTGGTTTTATATGCTCAAACCACCTTGTTATGGTGAGCAAGCTCGTCATTGCATTTTGCACCAGCTGAAGTTTCCGAACCATCTTCAGAGGCAGCCCCACACATTGCCTGAATTACTTCTTCTGAAGAGCATAAAATAACTATATAAATAAAGCTTTAACTGCCCAGTTAATGTATTCAGTTTCAGTCAACAAAAGCTTTATTTAAAAATAACATGATTTGCTAATTTGAAATACTTAACTTAAGCTGATGTAAGCTGTGAAGGGAAATAATATACACTTTACAATTAATGTTGTTTTCTCTGTAGATCCAGATAAGGTGTCCAGTAATAAGAATGTCTCTAGAGTAATTATTCATTGAACTGATCCTAATCAACAGATTCCTAATTACCTATATTATTTTGAGTAAGCAGGAGGTTGAAAAAAAATAAACTATTAAACACCATCATAGACCAATCAGTCAGTCAAGGTTTCAGGGGAAAAATGGTAAATTATTTGACTGTGACAATATATTCTATTCAGAATGTAAGTTTATACAACTTCTTTGGAATCACTTTATTTTGTAGGACAGCAGAGTGTTAGTTATAGGTAGGTTGTTATCTACGTCCATCTTTTTATCAGACAGTTTGATAACTCTTTCCTTCCGGTTAAGCCATTCCCTATGAGGAGCTCCCTAAAGGAAATCATAATGAACAATGATTGTGTTGTGAGTTGTTGGGACTTTATTTCAGCACACGGCCTAGAGGCATATCACATTTGGCTTTGATCTTTTCTGATCTCACAGACTGAGC